ACATCCTTCACACCGTGCACAAGCCTGCACCCAGATGAATGAGGCCAAACGTAGGGAACCTTGTGTCCTCAGATGACTTTGTCCTGTGTTAATGTACATTTATATGCATTCAGTGTATTAAATCTGCCCCTGGATGCAGAGAATTCAATTTTTCTAAGGGTTCATGCACATGGCCGAAACTACTGATATTTGTAACAGATCGTGCTGGGAGAAAAGATCCTGCATTAAAAAAAAAAAAAATGTTTAATGGCCAGTAAAGTGCTTCAGTCAGTAAGGCTACAGTCACACTTGCCTCTTGTGTTTGTCCTCTATATGCAGAGGAAAATCTGGCTAGATGCAGTGTTTATGCTTCTAGATGCTTTGAATGACACATTTGCATGCGTTTACATGTTTAGGTGTATCTGGTACCAAAACCTAGCAGCAAATTGTGTTTGCAAGCGTTCACATGCGTTTTGGTGCAATCAGAAGTTCAAACTGATTCCTAGATGCAGCTGAATTTTTTTTTTCCCCCCTCCTTAAAACGCAGAGCAAACTGACATCAGATAAAAGCATCTAAATGCAATGTGAGAATAGATCCATTGGTAACCAATCTGCATATATCAGGGGTGTCCCAAGGCTGTGAGAAACCCTGCCTTGACGTCATTGCGCATGGCGTTGCCACACGCGTGCGCAATGATGTCATCGTGCATGCACGGTCGTCTTATTGACACCTGCCGACGGCCATCTTGGTGATGGACGCTGGCAGAGAGAGGAGGGTACATTCACCCGACGGGATGAGGTATGCCGCCAGGTCCCCTCCTCTGTCTCGACATTGTTGGTCTCTCGGTCGGTGACCACGTGCCTGACTTTTCATGGGGGGGGGGCGACACCAAAATGACTGTCAGTCATTTCGGTGTCACCCCTCCAATGGTGGCACCCGGGTGCTGGCCAAATCACACATAGTGTGAATGAAACCTAAAAGCGTGTTTAGACTTATAAACGTACAAATCTGCTACATTCTTCTTCCATTCCCCTAGCTCAAATGACGCATGTACATGTGTTTCTATACATACAATGTAAATGTAAATTACTGACCAGACGTAGATTTTTCGGATTTGATCTGCGCACAAATTTACTGATCTTTACAGACTTTGTGCATGGGCCCACGTGAAATTACAGACCTGCTATCAGATCCGTTACAAAACGCTGTACCGATACAAAAGCTTTTTTTATGGCCATGTGGATGAGCCCTAAACACAGCTAAACTGAGCGCAGCTAAACGCACAGAGTGAATTATACCAGGCTCCTGCCGTTCACACCAGTAAGCCGCACTAAACACACAGCTGCCGGTGTGCTGATCCTGGTGCATTACACTGCAGTGCTTCCTTTTTTTTCAGTGTACAGCACCTCGACAATTGAAAACAAGGCAAATCTTTTTTGGGTGTTGAGGGCTGCTCAGGAAAACGCCAACGCTTCTGGTGTGAACACAGCGTTGCGTTAACCACACAGTTCTGTGCGATTAATGCACACTACTGTGCAATGCACCTACCATGTGTTACAGTAAGGGAGGGGGAATTGCAAGCCATTTAAATTACAACCCAAGCACACCTCTGGCCACAATGAGGGCTACTGCAATACCATACATTGCAGTGTAGGTAAAAAAAAAAAAAAATTAAAAAAGTAGCGCATGCACTACTTTTTTGGTTGCACCGCAAGGTATTGCTCGTTGCAAGGTGAGCTTTAAATGAATGAACGCAATGCCCCTCCCATACTGTAACACACAGTTATATGTAGCACACATTAATAGCTCAGAACCATGCGAATACCGTCAAAGTGATTACATGCAGTTCTATGTGTTTAGAATGGTCCTATGAACACGTGCATGTCACCGGCGGTATGAATGAGAAGCTTCCTGGTGACAGGACACAAAGTAACTCTTCACCACTTGGCAGATCCCCCCCCGTCACTACAAACCATCCAGTGATGTCACAG